AATGCTCCTAGGATGTATATTCCTCCAAGATGCAGGTAAGATACTCCATTCGTCCCATAAAAAATAAATCTAGAACTAGATGTAACACATTTTAGTATAATGAATTTGCATAGAAATGTGTTTATATTCTTAGTATTAGAATGTGTCACATCCAGTATTAGTTGATTTTTTATGAGATGAAGGGAGTATATTCTAAAAGTCTGGCGGACCAATTTATTTCATTTCTTTCCTCATTGATATGCGGGACACGTCATCCCATCCTTAAAATTTTGGATCATCCCATTAGAATATAGATACCACCATACTTTTGTGGTTGTCACAACTTATCTAACATTAGTTGTGATAAAGTATGACTGGCAACCAAACACACCTTAACTTGTGAAATTAACGAGCCGGCTCGCGAACTACTCGTTTAGTTTGTTAGGTTCGTTTACACATTTATATTATTTTTATAATTTTAATCCATATTATGGTATATAAACATAATAATAAATACATATAATAAAGAACTCACTTAGATACACATATTTTAACTATAATTAAATGACTAAACACTAGTTAAGTATAACTAAGTGCATGGAAATAGGATGAGTTGGTAATTAAGTAGCACTAGTTTTCTTAATGATAGTAGAAGGATGTAAGTACTCAAAATGTGGAGGTTATATGTCCGCTCATACTCTCTCCGTGTAAAATATAGATACTTTCAGTGGTTTCATAAGAACTAAGAAAATATGTGTAATTGAGTGGTGTAAGATAATAATTGATTGAGAAAAGAAGATATGTGAAGAAAATTAATGGGAAATATTCGTGATTGGTAGAGGTGACAAGGTTAGTAAAGAAATAATTATATTTTAAGATAATTTGAACTAGCTGGGTGGCCCACGCAATTGCGCGGCTAGTACCCACAAAATTATCTATTTTTACACACGATTCTACTTAAAATTTATTAAATATCTATCTCGCTGTCTTAGAACTTTCAAAGATCGAACATTATCATCCCTGGGTTTCTAATTTCGTAGTTTTTAAAAGTCACATCCATTGCTATCCTTACTCCTTTGTTACCCTTTTATTTGTTGCACGGCTAGCACCCATCCAAAATTATCTATTTGTAAACATGGTTTTATTTAATTTTGTTAAATAGCCATCTAGCCGATGTTAAAAGATTGAATCTTATTATCATCGGGTTAATTTTTGAAAGTCAATAAGTCGCCACCCCTTACTTTTTTGCCGCTCATTTATTTGATTGTCCGACATGTCACAACTTTTATTCATCCTCTTTGGAACTTTGATATTTAGATCTTATAGTTTTTGTAGTTCATTTTCTTGTCGGTTGCCATATTTATATTTTTAGAAGTTACATGAAATGTCACCATTGTACTGCTCTACAATCCACCCGATGTCTGGTCTTAATTGTCATTGGAATTTAAAAAGTCAAATATGATGTTATGATTATCGTTGGTGTTTTTTTTTTACTTTTTAGAAGTCCCGTCAAACATCATGATTGCGCTCCTTGACGGCTTGCCCACTGCTGTTTCTTTTAATCGTCGTTGAGATTTTTAAAATCGAACCTAATCGTCATTTGATTTTGTTTTATTGTTTTTTAAATATCCTATCAACCGCTACACCCTATTCATTTATGACTCACCCGTTATCCCTTCCTCTTTATTGTAATTTACCATTGTTGTGTTACGGTTGTTCTTTTAATATTTCTTTATTTTTATTTTGAACTTTTGTTATTCATAAATTGTATTCTTTCTTAAACTTTTTTTTTATTTTTATAATTTCATAATTTATTTTTTTAATTTTAATTATTCACATGTTGTGTTATAGATGGTTTTTTCTTTTCATAGTCTTTATTATTTTCTTTCAAATTTAGTTATTTATAAATCATCTGAATCGTTGGGTGTACATTTGGTGATTAAAAAGGATCAAATAGATAAAGAGACAGTCGCTTCATTTTTTATTTGCAACAAATATATCAAAGTATGTTCTAAGTAGTTTTGAAGTGATTATAGACTGAAAAAATAATACTTACATGAGCACACGTATATGGCTTTCTGCCTACCTAGTTCCTGTTGCTTTTTTTTCCACCTGGAATCAAACCTATAACAGTTTTGAAATTGGATCTCAATTTATTCCGTCGAGCAGAGCAGGGCCGCTTTGTACTCCTGTATTAGCACAACAACTCTAATTCCTATATTCCTATATACGTGCTATATCTCAATCGTTAAATTATGAACCTTAAATTGTGAATCCACTGTAATCTAACCGTTTAATCTGACTGTCAATTTATAGCGGCTTGCACTAATCCATCTCCTGTGAAAAATATACACTAATTACAATATGTTGATATCATTTGTACTTTCATAAACATCAAAGAAACTTTTGGTGTTTGATGCATTTGCCAGTTGCAAGTATTGATCTGTTTATTGTAATGTCTATGTAAATATCATGTCTTTTTACTATGATCGGCTCCCGCTATCATTGGGTTCTGCCGCTCAAGCCCAATCGTTGTTGCTTGAAATCTACAGAATACATATGTGCAGCAGTGCAAGCTTTTTATATTTGGCAGCACAACTCTTGTCCGTGTAGGTTTGTAATTGAATTAGATTATACGTGTACTGTGTACACCGCTAAAGAAACAGCAAGGACAAAGACTCCTAGTATGTGAAAAATCTAGAATTGTAATCAATGGTTTTATTAATCTCGTATTGGGTTCTTATACGGACTCCTCTTTTAATATTGCTTATTTTTAATTCCGAATTTCAGTTATTTTTTTTATTGTATTTTTACTTGGACTCTTCTTTTCTTTTTCTTCGATTAATGTGGGAATTTCTAACCTCCACAGCGAACTCCTCTTTTAATATTGCTTATTTTTAATTCCGAATTTCAGTTATTTTTTAGATTGTATTTTTACTTGGACTCTTCTTTTCTTTTTCTTCGATTAATATAGGAATTTCTAGCCTCCACAGCGAACGTGGTGCCTTCTTTTCAAGCTGTCTTAATAATATAATAGATCCTAAAAATAGTTTTTAGCGGCTATACATATTTCAGGGCGAATGAAGTAATGTTAGGTGGTAAGTGGTAACCAATATCTTATATATCTATACAAGTGATCTGACTTAGTGTAGTTATCCTATATATCTGTACAAGTGATCCACTTAGTGTAGTTATTACCCAATTTCCTGCTTTGCTGTTAATCCACGTCATCCAAATAACCGATAGCCATCAGATCAAATCTCAACGGTCCAGATCTGGCTTATCACAGTCAAATCCCAAAGACATGGATCCTGTTTAGGATAGCCCACACGGGAAAGCCCAAGAAAAAGCCCATCCCGTCGTCCTCCCTCTCTTCCCCGCCGCACTAGCCTGTTCTGTGTCTTCTCCCGCAAAAGCACCACGCCGCCACACCAGCTCCTCCCCGCACCCCCGGCGCTTGAGCTCCTCACGTGCCGGCTAGGGGAATCGCCCCTTCCCCTCTTCTCCTACCCCCGTCGCGCCCCTCCTCCCCCACCGCTTCGCTTCCTCTCCCTTGGCTCGGCACCACCTCCCATGCAGCTGAATTGTCTCCTCGAGTTCTCTCCAGATGTGGAAACCGTCGAGTCAAACGCCCATGCATCAGTGTGTGGCGCCACTTCCTCTCCCATTGTTCCCCAGTCTGATGGCCTCCTCATATGATGATAATGTTTGTCTATAAATTGGATTGCTTGTGTTCTCCTAACTTGCATCTTCCGTGACCATGCGCCAGCATCACCAATCCCGTTTGGAACTTCGGATGCATTGGCGACCAAGCAGGTGTCATTTTCATTCCTCTCACTCTCCTTCCTTACTGTACCCCTTCTTATTTGTGTACATGTGCTCCTATTTTTCTGAAGTCAGAATTGCCTATATTGCAATTTGGGTTGAAAATTTATCTGCGTTTTCTGTGTAAATTCTGATTCTGATACGCAATTTTGTTGCATTTGGAACAAGAATGACGGTGAAAGGCATTGTCCTGTTATGGATCACGAGCAATCGATCAAATAATTCAGTATTTGATGTTCCATCTTTTTTTTTAACGGAAAACGGCACAAGAGTGTGCCTTTTCATTGAATATAGAAGGAGGAGGTTCCATCTATAATGTGTAGCAAATCGCAAATCTAACCATCATTTTATTATATAATCAGACAGGTACAGATTTTTGTAAAAATTACCTTATCCATCTTTGATGGGTAACACATTTTATTTTTTGAATTGAATCCTTTCTTCACTACCCCCAATCTGCTATATATGTGCACACTGCAGTACTGCACTGTTGTTTTTTCAAGCTAAACGTGAATTGTTTCAGTCCAGAACCAGACCATTGGATGGAAATATAGTCAATACGTGTTTTTTCAATGTTTATAGCAACCACAGTGGAACATCAGTACCTGTTCTCACAATATGGATTGACATCTGTTCATATATGCAGCGAATAATTATTGCTTCACCTATGCAATTCCTACCAGATTAGCGAGAACATTTGTATTTAATATCTGATTAAAACCAACCGTACAATTTTTCTTTTTGCTTTTCTTCCTGCCATATGGTTCATGTAGCATGTGAACAACATAAAGGTCATTTGAACTTACACATGAACCTGTTAGATTGATTGGCTTTATTTTTAAACCTTTTCTTCAATCATACTTCACATAATGACCCGCAGCAACGCGCGGGTATCATCTAGTTTTCATTATAATTGAGACTGTAAATCTCGTCTACTTTCTCAGTCCTAAAAAGAATTCAATCTAAGTTTGAACCTGGACACATAAATTTAGGATTGGGTTTTGTTGAGGGAGTATTAATCCCGTCCACCGTGTCGTGTGAAGGCTACGTCACTCAGCCGTCAGTTACTCGTCAAATCACCAATTTCACCAGCCGTCGGTCCAACGGCCACGTCATCGTTATCTTGACCGGCCCGTCAGTGTCATCGAATTGGGGCCCATCCCCTCATATAATCCAACGGCCTACGCGTGCTCCTTGCCGCCTGGAGCTGGAAGCCTTGTAAGTGGAACAGAGACAGTCAGCTCCAGCCACTGCTCCCATGGCGACCGTTCCTACGCCGAGCGAGGCCCACGGCGGCGCGACGCCGACGGCCGCCGACGTGGAGATGGTGGAGGCGAGCGAGCTCCGTCGGCGGGGCAAGCCCAGCGGCGACCGTGCGACGGGGCCGTCCCGAGACGGGGCCGCCGCGGCGGCGGAGGAGGCGGCGGCGCCGTCGGTGGAGCGCGTGTTCGCGGACAGGCCCGTGCCGTCGTGGCGGGAGCAGCTGACGGTGCGCGCGTTCGTGGTGAGCTTCTTCCTGGTCATCATGTTCAGCGTCATCGTGATGAAGCTGAACCTCACCACCGGCATCATCCCGTCGCTCAACGTCTCCGCCGGCCTCCTCGGCTTCTTCTTCGTCCGCCTCTGGACGGCGGCCATCGAGAGGGTGGGGCTCCTCCGGCAGCCGTTCACGCGCCAGGAGAACACCGTCATCCAGACCTGCGTCGTCGCCGGCTACGACATCGCCTTCAGCGGTAAATCCTTTTTCACATCGTACCCTTTACCAGTATTCTCCGATTCTTGTGCTATCTTGTCCATCAATTTCGCTGCTGTAGAAAATTCTTCCTTTTCATGGCGATTTAAACTTACCTTTTCTTTTAACCAGAGGCGATCTAATTTACTACTGATTGTCTGTCTTAGTCCATTTTGTTGGAGGCGATCTATTTTACTACTGATTGTCTATCTTAGTCCTTTATTTTGTTCTTTGTGTTATTGGATCAGTGGGTGCATATAGTATATTAAAATATATCGGAAAAAGTACGAAAATATATCCGCTAGTAGTTACTTCTAGATAGGCCAAAATAGCGAAATGGTTTTTTTCGCGGGCTGGTCACGGTCAATATTCCAAATGATGAAGAGCGACATGCTTGGAAGTAACAAAGTTCAGATATAGACATATAGTACCAGTATTTCTCAATTGCTACAATTTTTTATGTACAAGGTCTTCTGTTTCTACCAGCTTTTATTTCTTAAAGGAAGAGTCTGCGAGACTGTGACATGCTATTATCATTTAATCTACTGGAGTAATGATCAAATAGATTAAAATTAAGTATTAATATTGACGATGGGCAGTAGTACTAGACAACTGAAAATGAGGTTCCCATCAACAGTCCGTGTTCATTTTTTCTTCAGTCCAAAGGGACTAATTGAGAGTAGAAGCTGTACAAGGACCGAAAACCAGAAAACACCAAAAAATATAAAAAATCTATGAAGCTAAGCTCATTTTTCTACCAATACTTTAAGTGCTTGTTATAGTATCAAAACAAAACTGTAAGTCAACATTAGCATAGCTAGTCTAGTATTCTATCAAAAATCAGTGTAGAAATAAGCAATCCCTCCGTTTTATATTATAAGTCGTTTGACTTTTTTCCTAACCAAATTTTATTAAGTTTGATTAAGTTTATAGAAAAAATTCGTAATATCTAAAATATCAAAATAATTTTATTAAATCTAACATTGAATGTATTTTCATGATATGTTTATTTTGTTATAAACTTGATCAAAATTAAAAAAGTTTGACTAAGAAAAAATTAAACGGCTTATAATATGAATCGGATGGAGACATGGAGTACTTATTTCACATGGTAACTTCTCCATTTATTTCAGGCGGCTTTGGTAACTACATATTGTCCATGAGTGAAAGAATCGCTGGGCTGGGAACCGAGGCAAATAATGCTCAAAACATAAAAAATCCCCATCTAGGATGGATAATTGGTTTTCTGTTCTTGGTCAGCTTCATTGGGCTCTTTGGTCTTGTGCCCTTGAGAAAGGTCAAGTTATTCTATATCCTCCATCCATTTTTTCTTTAAGCAACCATATGGTCATGTGGACATCATTTTAACCAAATTCAACACCTCTTCAGGTTATGATCATTGACTACAAGCTAACTTATCCAAGCGGCACTGCAACTGCCTTCCTCATAAACGGCTTTCACACGCCCCATGGAGCCAAGATTGCAGCGTAAATATTGAATACCTACCCTCATTTGTCCATGACTCCATGTTCATCTATGTGCGCTCTTCAGATATGCATGGTGTGATTTATATTGGTATTTGCCTGCTTTTTTTTCAGGAAGCAAGTAAAGAAACTCGGTATATTCTTCATCCTCAGCTTCTTCTGGGGTTTCTTTCAGTGGTTCTACACAGCTACCGATGATTGCGGATTCCATAAATTCCCATCACTAGGCCTTCAAGCTTTCCAACACAAGTAAAGATTGCAACCCTGCAAGAACTCATCCAACATCATTTTTTAGTTCTGAAAACCGCATTCTTTTCCGTTCTACTCTTATATGAACATTGTTTTTCTTTTGAAGGTTCTTCTTTGACTTCTCACCTACTTATGTCGGAGTGGGAATGATTTGCCCACACATTGTTAACGTATCTGTTCTCCTTGGAGGGATCCTCTCATGGGGCATCATGTGGCCTCTCATAGCCAAGAAAAGGGGAGATTGGTTTTCTGCTGATCTCCCTGACGGTAGTCTTCATGGAATGCAAGGGTACCGGGTGAGAATACGTTCTTATATAGAATGCTTATTACTGAGCTTTTCTGCTACTAAGTCCAGTTGTTGTTACAGGTCTTCATAGCCATTGCCTTGATTCTTGGGGATGGCCTCTACAACTTTCTCAAGATGATTATTCTCACAGCCTTCTCGCTAAGATCTCAAATCAAGAAGAAAAATGCTAGTACACTTCCAGTCTCTGATGATGGCATGGTTACCACTACTGCAGCTGTCTCATACGACGAGGAGCGGCGCAACGAACTCTTTGTCAAAGATCAAATTCCATGGTACGTTGCATATGGAGGCTATGCTGTTGTTGCTGCCATTTCTATCGGTACTGTCCCGCAGATAATCCCACAGCTGAAGTGGTACCAAATCTTGGTAGCCTATATCGTCGCGCCAATTCTTGCCTTCTGCAATGCCTACGGAACTGGCCTCACTGACTGGTCTCTTGTTACAACCTATGGAAAGCTTGCAATCTTTGCATTTGGTGCATGGACCGGTGCTTCACATGGTGGTGTTCTTGCTGGCCTGGCTGCCTGTGGTGTGATGATGAACATTGTGTCTACTGCTGCTGACCTGATGCAGGACTTCAAAACAGGGTACCTCACACTGGCCTCACCCAGGTCAATGTTCGTCAGCCAAGTCATTGGCACTGCAATGGGCTGTGTCATTGCTCCCTGTGTGTTCTGGCTTTTCTACAAGGCCTTTGATAATATTGGCATCAGTGGCAGCGATTACCCAGCGCCAAATGCTGCCGTCTTCCGGAGCATAGCGATACTAGGTGTTGATGGCTTCTCCTCGCTTCCAAAGAACTGCCTCAATCTCTGTTACGCGTTCTTTGCTGCTGCAATTGTCGTCAACCTGATAAGAGATCTTGTGCCAAAGGTGTCAAGGTTTATACCGATCCCGATGGCTATGGCGATACCTTTCTACATAGGATCATATTTCGCGATTGATATGTTCATCGGGACAGTCATATTGTTTGTCTGGCAACGAGTGGACAGGGCGAAAGCAGACACGTATGGACCTGCAGTCGCTTCAGGCATGATATGTGGTGATGGAATTTGGGTTTTGCCTCAGTCGGTGCTTGCTCTTGCCAAGGTGAAGCCTCCAATCTGCATGAAGTTTCTGTCGAGAAGGACGAATGACAAAGTGGATGCTTTTCTTACAACATTGGGAAAATAAGTTGCAACAACGATTCTGATGAAGAAAAGATTCAGTTGAACATTATTACATTAGCCCGTGTATATATTGGATAATTTTCTTTTTTTTTCCAGCAGATCCATGTCAGTAAGAATCCAATGAAGTGTGGCATACTATACGATAGTAGATAAATAAGTGTGTACAGAGACAAGAATGGGAATAAATTATCTTGTTTACGTTATTCTCTGCGATCTGATCTGCTCTGGATGCATATGCATGATGATAGGCTTAAGTTGCAGTAAGATTGTTGTCAATTGTACCTGTGTCCTTCACTCGAGTACTCGTCTGAAGTTGAAACTGAAAGAGAGTGCACAACACTAGCACTGATTCAGGTGCTCCAGCGCCAGGCGAGCCATGCATGTACAAAATGTGCACGAGCATGACCTATCTGCCTCCAGAATCTGATTATCCAGTTTCTCCCCTATCTGCTTCATCATCAGTCTTATGCCTCTCCGCCTCACTCGTCACCTACAAATTCGACGAACAGGTGGACCCAAAATTTGGCAATACCCCAAGACATAGATGTACTCCACACATGTATAGCACGAAACAGAGAAATTATTTGAGGGACATATCCGGTCCTTACTTGCTGTAAGACAAAAGTGTTGTATCAATCATTAATGCACATTTGATGAACAACTTTCATGTTTGTCCCAAACAGCTAAACAAGGGAGGGAGCAGTTAAAATAAAATATTTTTTTGGCACATGCATGCCAACCTTGTGATGCGACGTGCTTCATACGCTCTTCAAACAAGCAAATGAGTTCCTAGCCTCCACTGTTCCACATAGCTGCTGCTGTTGCTGCTTCTTCTGTCCCAAAGAATGTAAAGAACAGAAAGCAAAAGCTTCGCCCATTTTTCATGCTTGAGGCAAAAATAAAATGCTGTTTCATAAGCTGCAAAATTAAATAATTAGAGCTAGTCCAAAATCTTGGAAATGATGCAAGACAAATAGACATAGCCCCAAAGCATGCAATGTCAACAACTGAGCTACTAGTACACAGAGTTGATCTTACTCTTATTTTCCAAGGTAAACATAAGCTAGGTATGAATATATATTTAAATATAGCAGCTGTTGACTAAATTTAAATGTTAATCATCTACCAAGTATTTAAATGACATTGAAAAATCTCTAGAAGTTGCAACCACAAGTATTTTCAGACCACAGGCTTTCAGGTTTTTAGCTTTCATTTCGAATTTGACCGTCATTTCATAGTTCCAGATTATCCATAGTAGAAGACATATGCTTGAGGCCCAAAGTTGCAGATTGGCCAGCTACACCGTGCCTACAGTTTGTGCAACCACTCAAGATACCCATGCCATACCTGACTTTACGCATCAACAATTGTACTCTTCTCCCATGCAACAAAAAAAAAAAACCACATACGCACACACACACACACACACAATTGTACTCTTCTAGCTACGGATTTAACATAAAATTTTGTCAGTTCATGCTAGCCCTGATGATCTAGGGCTATCTTGAAGAAATGGAGGCACTAAGACTTAAATTCAGATTATCTACTACTGCAAATGAAGGAATGCTACTTTTTACAAAGAGAGATTCCTGTACATCAGCAGATATACAGATATAGTCTACATTGCATACATGCGCAAAATGACTACTCCGAACAAAGGTAAGTTTCCTTTTTTGCAAGCAACCTCAAGATTTCAAATAATATTTGATAAAAAAAAACAGTTCAAACAGGAGTACTCACCATTATTGAACACCACTCCATCGTGCCCAATCAACGAACTGCATCCCACCATAGATATTGTTGGCAAAACGGACACCAACAGTGAAAGCCATTGCAACAGGTGGCACACGTTTCGCAATAGGTGATGTCTCAACTACTCGCTCCAGACCATTGATGATCTGATAGCGCGTATTAGATGATACAGCAAGGAACACACCTATATGTCAATACAACTTGTCAGATGAATATTAATTAAAACAATTGTCAGATGAATACAGGAATAAAGAACGTGCCTTATGCTAGTTCACACGTAAAGATAACATAAGCAATTGCTGTAGTAGGAAAAAGAATAATATGAACTTTTGCTATCTTAGCATATCTTATCTGACATAGGACATAAATATTGAAATACATCATAAACCAAAGTTAGCAGAAACTTCAGCCATTAAATAAAGATATAAGCCCCTCTCTATGTTAAATCTGCTGATGGATGCCTCTCTAGTAGACATCATCGCATCGAAACATCTATCTGTTTGTGCATATAACTTGGACCAAATAAAGTAATACAAATAGAAACAGATGGTAGTCATACCCCATAGAGCAGCACTTTTAATTAGTGGAGGGACAGGGATATCCTCATCTGATTTTTTGACACTCCTGAAAAAAAAAAGAAACAGCAATACAGCATAACACAGTCAACAAAGCAGAAAATATAATCCATAAAAATGTTCATCAACAATAGCATGAACACAACATGGCATATGTATGAAAGTACAGCATATGGACTGATTATGGAATTAGTGTACAATTGAACAAAAATATTACAAATTTTGGACAAAAGAACAATATCATAGACAGTACCTCTTGGCAGTCATTATCATATTGGCAATTCCTTGACCAATGATACCACATACAAATCCAACCGAGCCATACAAGACACCCTGCAAATAAAACGATAAGCAGTTGGGCCAATCCAAAAACAGTGTGATGATGCTCCAGCAGTTAGAAATTATAAATCTGATATAGATCAATCCAAATTCAGGATAAACACATATCATATAAGATTTGCTACCTTATAAAAGAATGTTCCAATTCTTTGCTGAACTGTGAATCTGCAGCCTGGCCTTTCAGCTTCAAAAACACTGCAAGAGAGTCCAAACAGAATGAAACCAAAATCCAATTAATACTACTGCTGCTGCAGTTGCGGACTCACAACATGAACAACTGCACTGTTTCATTCTTTCTCACGCTATGTTCCATGGAACAACAAACTAGACAAATGTTTATTTTAGTTTATTTCCATAATTCACTACCAATTTCTATAGGCACTTAATAACAGAAGAAATAACTTTTAACCTGCTTGGCAAAGATCCAGCCATCCTGTTGAATCTCCCAAAAGGACCAGTCGAAGCAGATGCCTTTCCAAATCTCACGTACGGAGCCAACAGCCCCACAAGTGCAATATCAACTACCACTCCCACTAGAAGGTCTGCGGCGTACAGCTCAAACTCCGCCCAGAAATCCTCCCCCCTCTTCTGCACCTCCGCAAACGTGGCGCAGCACGAGTCAATCACAACCTGCATCGAATGCAAAATCCTCAACACTCCGTAGGACTACAATCGAAACTCCTCAGCTTAAACAACAAACCAATCACGCGCGCACCTCTGTTCCAACTTTGAAGAGGAATGATGGGTCGGCTAGCATTCGGTTGCGGAGCATCGAGAATGCCCGGATCATCGCGGCTAGAGGCCATGGCCCTGCCTAAGATATAAAAAGGGGCACGAAACTACATTCTTACAAACATTTTTTTTCTACCTTCTCACAAACAATTCTTCTGCAATTCGGATTACCTGCAGATCGAAGTAGCGGAGCAACAGGACTTCCCGGATGCCAGCATCCTTGGCCGCCTCCATCATGTCGGCCGGGAGCGAGACGCCGCGTGCCGCGGCGAGGCGCAGCACCTCATCGAACCCGAGCAGGGGCCCGAACTCGGCCTCCTCGTAGTCGTCGTCGTCGTCGCCGCCGCCGCTGCCGCTGCCGCCGCCTCCACCCTTGCCGCTGTTTCCTCCGGAGCCGCTCCCGCGGTCCCCCGCGGCGCCCGATCCGTCGCCGGTGGTGGCGCGTGGGGCTTGTGTCCCGGAGCAGGAGAGGGAATGGGGTTTGGGGGGCAGTGGGGAGAATAGCCTGGGTGAGAGCTCGCGAGAGGGGTTTGATGGGGAGGAGGAGGAGGAGGAGATCGCGACGGCGGCGGCGGAGGCCGCGGAGGAGGAGGAGGAAGCGGCGGCGAGGGAGGAGAGGGAAGGGGAGGCGGCGAAGGCCATGGTAGCGGAAGCGGCGGCTGCCGCGGCTGGATGCGAGGGTTTTAAGGTTTTCGCAAGTTTGGACTGTTCCAACCTTATTTGCCAACTTATCAATTTACGAAATAGACTATTTGCTTCATGCTTTAACTATTTTACAGTAGCTCCGTCTCAAAATATAAGTATTTTTTAAGTACGAATTTATATAATTATATGTTCAGATTCATAACTAAAAGTTATTATATTTTAGGACATAGATAATACTTTATTTATAAAGGTATTTAATTTTTTTTATTATTATCAAGCAGCTATTCTTTCTATCATAAAATATAAGGACGAAGGAAGTAATCTGCAATAATAATCTAACTCAAACGAACTCTCATTTGGAAAAAAAATAATAGACCTTCAAACCGGAAAGATTTCAGCTTCCTTTGATGGTAGAGAATGAATCGTGTTTGGTTTAAAATGTACCAATGTGTTATAAATATTGAGGGCTGCTAAAATTTTAGTTGGGTACGATGTCGGTGAAGTATTTGATTTCCCGTTAAATTTTTATTGATTCTGTACGTAACTAGTTTTAGCCTATATGTTCTAGTTTTATTTCAAAAATTATTAAAAACTTATTACTAGAAGATTCAACTTTTTTACATAAATCCTAGGATGATCTAACCTTAAAGGACAACTTTGGGTGATTGGAAGAATTGTTGTCCCTACACGAAAGGAAAAATATTGAAAAGAAAACGATTCCAATAGAACATGTATGAAAATGCGGAAATGCTTCCTATCAGACGTTTGACGCAACAAATAAAAATCGGACAGGCAAACGACTACTTTCTTATCCACTCCACACATCCATACATATTATAATGATCTTATAAATAATTTTATATCTACTTATCCAATCTGTAATATAATCACATCATTACATTCCGATAAAAGAAAAACGTATGTTTCAATCCGTTAAGTTTAATGTTTCAGACACGATAGCAATATGTTTCATTGTGAGTTTTCATTATGTTTCATAGAAAAGTTAAATGTTTAAGTACTTGATTTTTTTTCACCACGTATAATGCTTCACGCTGAAAAAGTATGAGACGCATATGCCTCACACACACTCTCTCTCTCTCTCATAAATTTTATTGACTTTCTCCCCACACCATGCATGCATGCACCTATTTAGTGGTTTTAAAAATCTTTTTCTTCCAAACTACTTAACCGATGAGCGATTCGATCACCCATTGAATTTGTTATAATTAAATCTTTATAACAAGATATCACATAATTATATTATAATGAAAGAAAAACATATGTTTCAAACCATGTGTTTTTATCTTGTTTCACAAAATTTTTATATGTTTCAGAGGCTGATTTTTCTGTTTCACCATGTATAACTTAATGTTGCACCAACGGTCAACTGAATATTTGACCGTTCGATTTTTTTTTTACAACATCGGACGTCCAATTTGTAACTCTCTTCGTGAAAATGTTTTCATAAAAGTTACTTTCTCCCTCCGTCTGAGAGAGTAGAACGGTGTTTTTCTTTTTCTTTTTACACAGCGAACTGTGACTATGTGGGCACGACCACACGATGTTCTCTCTCTGCACTACTTTGGACATATATAGATTAGTCATATGATCTCTTTTATAAGTTGGCATTTTTCTTTTATAACTTTTTAGAAAAAAAAAGGTGCTAACTGGTCTTTCTAGAACTTTTTTGATCGATCATTGTTTCTACCGGCCGGAGAACTCAGTTTTACTATCGGATATGATATCATTGGCTCTCATCTTTTGATTCCTATCATCATATGCAATGCTAAAAAAAATTAATTTAATTTTAAAGTTGTTTTTGTTTTTTTTTCTCATCATAGTTTCTCCTACAACATTGTTATTTAAGTCGTTAAAAACATAAATGTAAAACTTTTAATCATAAATTATATATCTAGCTAATACGTCACTTGGCATATATATTTTCCGCATATGCCCGTCCTATGAGGCTGATTGTTTCTTTTAAGATGAGATTATCTTCTTTTAGTAGGCAATGGCCATGCAAATTGGTCTTTCTTTTGGCGTAAGCTTCGGATGCAGTAAAGTCCAAGTGGAATCTGATTGCATGGAAGTAGTGGATGCATGCTCTAGAGATGACTCCTTGTCTCTGGAGTCGCAACAACGCGATTTATATAGATTGTAATGCTCTTGCTCGGAATATCGGGAAGGTTGAGTTACAGCATTGTTTAAGAGAAGCAAATAAGGTAGCTCATAGCTTAGCTAAGCACACTTTTGATAATATATTACTATCTCAGTTTTTTAATAGATGATGTCGTTGACTTTTTCTCACATATTTGATCATTCGTCTTATTCAAAAAATTTATGCAAATGTATGAGATATAAATCACACTTAAAGTACTATGAGTGATAAAACAACTCATAACAAAATAAATTATAATTACGTAATTTTTTTGAATAAGACGAATGGTCAAACATGTGAGAAAAAGTCAACGGTGTCATCTATTAAAAAACGGAGGGAGTATCTTATAACTGGATCGACGAACCCCCTACCTTCATTTTAGGTAATTTATTGGACGATGTAATCATTGTCTCATATTAATAAAGCTTGCTAAAAAAAAGGATGAGATCATTTTTTGCTTTTATCCTACAGATTCATTGATTACCCATATCTCATAATAAGATAAGACGAATTATTAACGAATAAAAATTAATTAATAAGTAAAATTTTTATACATGTGTTCCTAGCGACTTAAAAATCAGTAATGAAAAATAAACAACATTGAAATATCTCAAAATCAACTTTAAAATGAAGATTGAAAATTTAAATACTGGCCTTGGCTTTGATTTATTAGGATAAATATAATGAGGCTCCAAGTTGGATTTTGCAGGTTTCCTTCAACTTTGGAATATTCAATAGAGTTTTCGGACATGTATGAGTAGTTAGTGCTACTATTTATTAGTATTTGAGTTTTCAGTTTAGGAGTTTCATCAAGACACTGTGAGTGTTGTTTGGTACATATGTTAGCCCGGTAGCTTCGGTTTAGGAGTTCAGCTCCTAGTGTATAGTTTAGTCCTCTTTTTGTTGGTGTATTCCTCGCTCCCCAGACAGCCGTGGAGTGTTACAGTTGTATTTATTTATTTCATCTAGGATATTACGTGCAAAACTTTTATGTGTTAAAAAAACATAACGAAGAATAGTCTTTTCATTTGTGTCACTCATATAGGAGTGGATATCGAGCTGGCTCGGCTCAGCTCGGTCCGGCTCGTTCATTAGGATAACGAGCCGACGTCACTCATATAGGAGTGGATATCGAGCTGGCTTGGCTCAGCTCGGTCCGGCTCGTTCATTAGGATAACGAGCTAGCTCGGCTCGTTATCCTAACGGGTTAGAATGCTAGCTTGGCTCAGCTCTGCTGCAAGTTCGATCTAGCTCGTTTAGCTCGTAAGCTATTGGGGCAAGAGAGAAGGGAGTTTTTTTAGCTGGCAACCACGGGAAGGAGCTCAACCTCATCGGCACCATGACCACGGGGATGAGCTTACCGGCGACCACGGGGAGGAATAGAGGAGCTCGATGGTGGATGACGAAATTTTGAAAACTTTTGACTTAAGATTTGAAAGTTTTATATTCAAATTTAAAAACTTTCAACTTAGATTTGAAAATTTTTTAAATCGAATTTAAAAGCTCGACTCAATTTGAAAACTTTTGACTCAAATTTAAAACTTTTAACTTACAATTGAAAACTTTTAAGTTAATATTTGAAAACTTTAAGGTCAAGATTAATTCAAGCTTTGAATTTTATGTTGAAAGTTTTCTAAATTTAAGTTAAGTGTTTTGAATTTTGAATGGAAGTTTTGAAAATTATGTTGAAAGTTTTCTAAATTTAAGTTAAGTGTTTTGAATTTTGAATGGAAATTTTGAAAATTAAATTGAAACACGTACTGGGCAGACACGTCAGCTCCCAGCTCCCACGGGCATGTGGGAGAAACGGAGCTGGCACGTCCGCGCAAACGCACGGCCCCCGGCCAGCAAACGCACAGCCTGCACATGCCCTGATCACCAATTAACCATCTCCCTCTAAAAGAAGGCATTAATAACCCGAGTTTAATTGTTTTTTCTGGCGTGCCATTTTACAGAACTGTCTGAACAGACAATCTGGCCTGCTCCAAGATAGTGCGGCCCCAGGACAGTAGGAGCAGTGCATCCATTTCACCTTCAAGGACATGTTTCCAAAAACGGCACGTAAATGAGCAAATACGAGCGTACTATACAACCAGGGACCTGTAGGCACTGTAGTAATCAAATGTGCAATCCAACGGTTGTCACTGTTCCGTAATTTCACCGAAGGTTTGGGCAAACAGTACTACTACATTCATATCTCACAGAACAACGAGTAAATGTGGCCGATGATCCTCTGCCAAATGCAATCCAACAGTTGACAGGAGAAAGAAATGAATATAACTAGAAAAACGGATGAACTGTTAAGAACATAAAATTAGACATTTGTTGCAACAGGTTTTTCAACTGGGATGGACAAACCGATGGAACAAACTGCATTCTAGATCGACACAGGGAACAGCTAGAACATGACATTCGGAATGAGAAAAATAGAGAAAGGGAGAGGCAAATTCAGCCCATTAACCACAACATCTGCAAGCGCACAGTGCGTTTGGCTACCACTAATCACTACTACTACTGCTTCTGCTTCTGCTGCTATTAATTCCAACCCCCAAAACACTGAAGCCGCATATGCATGCAGGGACGCTTCAGTCGCCCACGACGCCCACCCGACCGGCCGCCGCCTGCACGGCTCACCGGAGGACGCGGCTGCACAGCCGCGACACGTCCGACGGCTGCACGGGCTTCAGCAAGAAATCCTCCGCTCCTTCCTCCAAGCACCTGGCAAATTAACCAAAAACGTGTCAAGAAGATGAGTATATCTTGATAGTATTTGGGCAGATATGGGCACCGATACTGTGCACACAAACCTGTTGATCCTTGTAGAGACGTTCTCCGAGGACATGATCACCACAGGGATCTCCTTCAGCCTGGACGACTCCTGCAAAGATATGCCATTTTCTATTGTCAAATCAGAAAAGGTGAGTAGTAATATGCACGAGGAGTACTATGGAAGTTGGCCCAAATAACGGTGGTGATATCACCGGATTACCTTGACCTTCTTCAGGAGTTCATACCCGGTCATCTCCGGCATCCAGTAGTCAGTGATAATCATGCTCACATTCGGTTCCTGCGAGCCAAAGAAAAAAAAACGTTTACGGCCTCGCAGGCAAAACACACCTCCACATTTGCGTAACCAACAGCAAAAAGGCAGAGGATGCCGGAGACTCACCGAGCCTAGCAGCTCCAATGCCCTCTTCCCGCTGTCCACAGCCGTCACTACACACATGCACACGTAAGAAGAAGAACGAGGATGGACAATATGTGGTACAGGAGCAAGAGAGCCAGCAGCTCACCGCGGAACTGAGAGCTCCGGAGGATGCCGGAGATGACGGCGCGGTCCACGGAGCTGTCGTCCACCGCGAGGACGTGCGGCGCGCCGCCCCTCTCGACGCCACGGCTCCTGCAGGTGGCCATCAGATCGATATCTCTCCTACAGTCCTACTCGCGAGCAAAAGGCAAGGCGGCTTTAGGAATTCTGTGTGTGACCGTGGAAGGTACTGGACGTGTGGTGCGCCTTATATAGAGGCGGCCGTGCGTGCGAGATGGGGAGAGAAGACGACGTCAAGGAGCGGAGACGAGGGGATCGATCGCCCGGCGCGCCCACCGAGAGTGATCGATATCGCGGCCGCCAGGGAGGCAGGTTGGGCGAGAGCTAGCTAGCTAGCTACGCTAGTGAATCCAAGAGATATCGATACGGCCGCGGCGCGGATCTGATACGGCCCGTATCCCCGACCCCGCGCGCTCCCAATAAGCAAAGCGTGACGCATCGCCGCGCGCGCCGGGGTGGGGTGCGAACCGTGCAACAAAGTGCAGTGGATCCACGAGGCCACGTACCAATGAGGGCTACGGCTCGGGGGCGTGCGCGCGTGAGCGACCAGGCAGCCAGCAGCGGACCGTATCTTTTGTCGCTTCCAACAGTGGTGCTCGTATTTAACTCGCCTCGCGCATCCTGCATGCCTGCCTGGCACGGACGGCCGGGCTGGCTGGCTCGGTCACCGGCGCCACCGTATCATCTCTCTTAAATGAGCTCCATCTGCATCAAAGCATCCTGTGTATACGGGGTGAGGATCATCCACCATAATATCACTGTCATTATAATCAACTGGTGTATAGGTCCCATGCTTCTATTACCATACACGTACTCCGTATTAATGTTTATAATGATAGTTTCATTACGATACCCGTGTATAGATACTGTACGCTTTATTTTTCTCTTGCAGAACTACTGTCTGATACTACTGTATACTGTATACACGAGTACTGTATACAGTGCCGTACTGTATCTGCTTTACAATTACTGATCATCGGTCCCTCTGTACTCTGTAACAGTTGTGTACATACAGTATATCGCCTCGTATGAAGGTTGTAGTAGCAGTGTCGTAGCACTGAGTACTAGCAGTAGCAGGTTTGCTCATTTATTGGAAGCCTATAAATACACCGTATGTCCGTACGTATGTACATGGAGTAGTCGGCTGAGGAGGTGAATATGTGGATGACAGATTTTTTTTTTGAACGGAAAACGGGATAAGAGTGCGCCTTTTCATTGAATATAGAAGAAGAAAATATAACCCTTAAGGGTAAAGTAAAAAAGACTTTAAGTTATAAACTATACAATGCGTGGGACGAAATCGCGCAATCTTTTTGCCCCTGCTAAGGCCCACACGCTAGCCTCCTCTTTTATTTTTGCTAGGAGAAGGCCTACCGCCATCTCTTTGTTATCGAAAATCCGCCGATTTCTCTCCTTCCAGATTTCCCAGACTACTAGTAGGATGAGGGACCGAAGACCCTTTTTTGGGATGTTGGGAGTATTTGCTAGGCTTTCCCACCATTGGCAGACTGACTGGGCTTCCTCCCACTGGGACGGCTCCAATTGATGATATCCCACCCATCCGGCAACGTGGTGCCAGATTCTCTTTGTGTATCTGCATGTGGCGACAAGATGCAATCCCGTCTCAGCTTCGCAACGACAGAGAGGGCAATGGCCGTTGTTCTGCCAACCTCTTATTGCAAGTCGGTCGGACGTCCAGACTCTATTCTGGATGATGAGCCAGACATAGAATTTGCATTTCCCCGGGGCCCATGCTTTCCAAATCAAAGAGTTGAGGTTTGTACTTGGCGCCTCCAAGCACTGTGCATGATAGGCCGAAGAGGCTGTATAATGGCCATTGCCTGTGAATTTCCAAACAATCTGATCTGGCTCTTCACTGACTAACTGCACATTCCGGACCGCTTCCCACAAGCGGACCAGCTGTTCCACTAGGTTGACTGTGATGGTTGAGCCTGCGTCAAAGATCAGGTCATCCACCCATGTGTCGTCCTCTTTCCCTTGGTGTAGGGACTTTTTCCTATTTTTGGAGATCGCGTAGACCAACGGCATAAGATCTTTTGGCCTGCGCCCATCAATCCAAGTGGAATCCCAGAAGCGTGTCATATTCCCATCACCGACGGTTATCTTTGTTGAGGCAGCGAAGAGGTCTTTGTCGATTTCATCACAAGGCGTGTCCAAACCCACCCACGGCTTGTTCGGATCTTTCCATTCGTGCCAAAGCCATCGCAGTCTCAAGGCCCTTGTGAATTTTTCTAGGTTCAGGACTCCCAAGCCTCCCTGGCTAGTCGGCAAGCATGTCTTTGTCCAATTGACCTTGCATTTTCCCCCAGTGATATCGCCTGTGCCAGCCCAGAGAAAACGATGTCTCTGCTTATCAAGTTGCTTCAGAGATTCTTTCGTCACCTTCGAGGCAGTCAGGAGGTAGATTGGCTGTGGATGACAGATTGACATCCATTCTGCAGTACGCCAGTACGTACATGCATGTCGGGGTGTACGTACATGCATTCTGGAGTACTGTACGTATCTGAGCGATTTTGCGGTGCTGTGCGTCAGTTAATTGAGGTACTGCGCTTTCACTTGATTATACGGTGTATCTCGCGGATACGCCGTATCTCATCACGAGCTAGCGACAGGCCAGAGACAACTTCCTGCCATAATCATGAGCATGCGTATAAATTGAAGAGCCGAGTTCATGTCACTATTTACTTCCAAACTGAGAGATTACGTATAGTTAAACCGTGAAAGATAGTGATACGCTCGCCACTAGTGATACGCTAGTATATTTACTTCCAAACTGAGATTATGTAGCGAATCTCCGATAGTTGGATGTTAATAACTCTTGGAAAGACAGAAATGGATAGAGCATCAAGGACAGAAACACAGTACTTGATGCTACAAAATCAGACATGTTCGAAGTAAATATTTCTCACCTAAGCCTAAACATATAATACTAGTAGAAGATAAAAAAAAATCCTATCTGCGGTACACTGGCACCGTATCTTGACGGTCTCGTGATCGTGCACTCGTGAAGTCGTGATATGCCAATGCTTCGTATTGATTTTTTTTTTGAAAAAATACAAATTACCCTCCGAACTATCACGGTCGTCCGAATTACCCCCTAACCATAAAACCGGACATTCTTCACCCCCAATTATGTAAACCGGACAAATTACCCCCCTCGACCCAATCCGCGGTGGTTTTGGTTTACGTGGCGTACGCGTGGCAGTCCAGTCAGCAATTTATTTATTAGAAAATAGACGGGTCCACCTGTCATACATTTTTCCTCTCTCTCCTCTCACTCTTCCTCTCTCTCTTCTCTCACTCTCTCACGAATCACAGCGGCAGGCAGGGGACGGCGAGCGGCGGTGGGGGATGAGGCGGCGAGCGGCAGCGGCGGCGAGGGATGAGGCAGCGAGCGGCGGCAGAGGAGGCGAGCGGCGGCGGCCGAGGATGCGGCGGAGGAGGCGGCGGCGGCAGAGGAGGCGAGCGGCGGCGAGGTGCCGCGGAGGAGGCGAGCGCGGCGGAGGCGAGGCGAGGCGGCTCCCGCCGCCGCCGGTCCCCTACCTGTCCTGGAGGGCGTCATCGCCGCCGTCACTTCCACCGCCCGTCCTAGAGGGCGCCGCCGCCGCTGCCCCCGTTCGACCTAGAGGGCGCCGTCATCGCCGCCGCTTCCCCGCCCGCCCTGGACGCCGCCGTCGTCGCCGCTTCCCCAACCCACCCTAGACACCGCCGTCGCCGCCGCGGCAGCTTCCCCAGCCCGCCCTGGACGCCGCCATCGCCGCCGCCGCCGCTGCCCCAGCCCGCCCTGACGCCGCCGCTTCCCCAACCCACCCTGGACACCGTCGTCGCCGCCGCGGCCGCTTCCCCAGCCCGCCATGGACGCCACTGTCGCCGCCGCCGCCGCTGCCCCATCCCGCCCTGACGCCTCCGCCGCTTCCCCCGGCCGCCCTGGACGCCGCCGTCCGGTTCCCCCTCCTCGTCTCACACCGCGCGCCACCGTGCATCCTCCGCCACGACAGAGAGACCGATAGAGATTAGGAAGAGAGAGATAGAGGAAGAGAGATAGAGGGGGTATGACATGTGGGTCCCACTATTTAAAAAAATAAAATGCTGACTGGACTGTCACGTAGACCAAAACCACCGCGGATTGGATCGAGGGGGGGTAATTCGTCCGGTTTGCATAGTTTGGGGTGAAAAATGTCCGATTTTATGGTTTAGGGGGTAATTCGGACGACCGCGATAGTTCGGGGGTGATTCATACTTCTTCATATTTTTTTATCCGACTAAAAATACAAGAACTAATATATTACAACTGTATTATCCGTTCATATCCGTCTCGCTCTCATCCCTACCTATACAGTCACACCGCGCCAGCCACCTTCTCTCTCTGTTGTGTTCCTGCTCGTCGCCCCAATATCAATGGTGAATTCGCGAGCCTACGTACAGATTGAACCATCTGCATACGCTGGAGTATGCTGTAGGAGTACATGCTTCTATGGGCGATCTGGCATGGCGATCTTGCGATCCCTGGACGAGTTCCGAGGAAAATCTTGCATATAGACTGCCAACGATCGCGCTCTCTCATGACATAGGAACACTCCATATGCTCAACTGACAAAGCTAGCTAGGAGCTGACTACTATGGGGGTGTTTGAGAACTAGAGACTAAATTTAGTCCCTCTCATAAAAGTACAAGTCCCTATGGTAGGGACTTATATTTTTGTGAGAGAGACTAAAGTTTAGCCCCACTTTAGTCCCTTCAACCAAACACCACCTATGACTTCCTTTGGTGAAGGCAGTACTACCTCCGTCTCAAAAATACTTAATTCTTGGGTTTTTTATCTAACATTTGACCGTTCATCTTATATATAATTTTTTATGATTAGTATTTTTATTATTGTTAGATGATAAAACATGAATAATAATTTATGCATAACTTATCTTTTTAAATTTTTTTATATTTTTTTAAATAGGACAGATGGTCAAACGTTAAACACCGAAACTCAGGAATTGAGTTTTTTTTTTGGGACGGAGGGAGTACAGGAGTAGGAGTACTCCATCTGTCTATCCATGGCTTTTGAGGGAAATCCCTTACCTCTAGCAAGGACGATATTGCAGTAGTGTCATCCAGTGCGCAGGCTGTAGCCGAACAAAAGATTGGG